AGTTTCTATGGGCTTGAGGGTTTAGGGTTCAGGGTTAAGGCTTGCGGGTTTAGGGCTGAGGTTAGGGTTTAGAGTTTAGGGTTCAGGGCGTAGGGTGTAGGTACCCTCGTAGTTCCATTGACCAAAATTTGTATAGGATGCTTGTGCTCCAAATTGCACAAATGACGGCAATGTGTATAGACTTTAGGGCCCAACGTGAATTTAATTCATAGACTTAGAACCTCCGGGTAACTAGGGGATGAGTGCTGCTGAGCCGTAGGCAATTGGATTAGTAAACCCTGAACTCTGCGCCATAAAACTTACACCGTAAACTCTAAACCCAAAACGCTCAACCCTCTACCATACATCCTACATCTAAAACCCTAATCATTCTACCATCGACCCTACACCCTAAGCCATACATCCTCTACCATAAACCTTGAACCCTACTTGGAGGGTCAGGGAGACTTAGTAAGTAGGTTAAGTAACCCCTATATCTCATGTAGAAACCCTTTATTAACCTACTTTTTAAGTCCCCCTGACCCTTGGGCTGCAGCTTGCCCTGGTTATTAAGGTCTCTGACCCTGCAAGTAGGGTTGCAGAGAGTCCCAGAGGTGGAGCAAAGTCGGCCTAAAGGGATGGCAGGGTTTAGGGTTCAGGGTTTAGGGTTCAGGGTTTAGGGTTTAGGGTTTAGGGTTCAGGGTTTAGGGTTTAGGGTTTAGGGTTACGGGTCAGGGTTTAGCGTTCAGGGTTCAGGGTCAACATGATGGTCTTTCGGTGGATGCTACAGCCTCTTGCGTCACTCTAAGTGCCATGTGCCCTGGGAATTACGGTGTTGCACTATGCGAATGTCATGCAGGAGTTTTCATGTCCTCATTTTTTGGGGTCCTCATGACAAGACGACGATCCTAAGAATTTAGGGCCCTACTAGCCTCCTAATTCTGATCACTGCGTGAGGTAGGAGTTTTACTATTGTTTTGGTCATTGTATGTAGGGTTGCGTAGGAATAGCGGTGAGTGTATACATTTGGCGTCCAATATGGGGTTCCTACCTTAAACCCTGAACCCTAAACCCTAAACCTTAATCAATTGTGAGCTGTAGACTTGCCTTGGTTACATGTGAAGCAGTAGGCATTCGGGAAGAACCCTAAGCTTACGGTAAATTAAGCCTTGAACCCTAAACTCAGGGAGTCTTCCTTTGTACGCTTAGGGTTTGTACCCTTGGGTTTGGGTCCCTAAATCATAGAATATGGCCCTTGATAAGGGTTGTTGGGACAAAAACCGAGGTTTACAAACATTTAGGGTACAAACTTAAAGTCTTCGATAAACCCTTAAGTTCCTTCACAGCAACCCCCTCGCTTCAAATCGCCGTTCCACGTAGCTTTTTCGGAGAAATGCCTTTGCCAGAAGCTCCACGTCTGGCTCAGTCAACATATAGTCCTCCTTAAGTAGATAGAATATGGGGTTTAGGGATTAGGGTTTAGGGTATAGTCCCCCTTAAGTAGATAGAATATGCGGTATATGGGGATCCTTTTATAACATACCCCAAGCCATATTCTATCTACTTAAGGGGACTACATCTCCTCTTTACTACAACCCCCAAGCCTCAGACCCCTAAACCCTTTTCCCCCCACTAGGAATACTTGTTATTTTAGTTCTGGGGGAATTACAGATAGTATAACCCCTAGGAATTATCAAACAGGATATTGTTTACTATCTCTTCTTAAGTAGAACCTCTAGGAGTTATCAAAAGTAATACGTCTTTATTATAGTTCTTGCGGGGATTACGGATATGCCCGCAGTGTCCCTTACGCCTCCAGAACCAAGACACACAGCATATTTAGTAGAGTGCTACCTGTGCCCAAAAGTTAGGGTTTAGGGTTTAGGGTTAGGGGTGTAGGATCTAGCGTTTATCTACTGCACCAGATTCATTCAGAAGCCAACAGCCAGTTGAGGTTCCTGCGCGCCCACCCTGATCTGTTTACCATTACGGACATACCAGGAGACTGCTTTCTGGCGACTTGTCCCGAAGAATAGAGAACTAAATGGAAAGGACATGGAAATGGATTGGACATTTTTTGGAACGACTGCCAATATTTTCATCTGCTTGTATTTCAGTGCTTTTCAGGCGGGTCGAGACTGGGCATGGAGGCCTTGCGGGTGTGAGATTCGATCATTTAAAATGGTCTGTATCGCGAAAGGTCCTACGTATCTACAATGGCTAAAGGGTTTTTCCTTGGAGTTTAGGGTTTAGATGCTTGGGACCAGGAGTTTTCATTGTGCAACATCCTCTAAGCCTAAACCCCAACCGCACCCCCAAAGAAAAAAAGCCGCCCAGGCCTTCTTTCCCCGGCCGCTGGCTTTACAAGTTTCAGTCCAGATGCTGAAAGAAAAGTGGGAACGTAGGGCTTCAGCTCGAAACCCGAACAGGAGCAAACTTGGGTGGATGCCTGCGCAAGCCAAGGGGGGGGAAGAATAAACCAACACACCATTTTCATAGTTTGTTGGGCACGAGAGATGTGCCGCCGCAAGATACTCCAGCTGCCGCGCAGCAAGACGCACTAAATCCTAAACTGTAAATCCTAAACCTTATGCCCTAAACTTACCCTAAATCCTAAATCCTCAGCCCCAAGCCCGCAACCCTAAACCCTATACAGCTTTAGGAGTCCCAGCCTTCAACTCGGGGCCCTCAGCCCCAACTTAGGGCCTCTTGGGTTGCAACCCCTGGCCGAAGGTCTCACGCACTGGCCAGCCGCCACCACCAGCCTACGATCCCAGGTCTGCGGCTGAGGGTTTTAGGGTTTAGGATGGTTTTTAGGGTTTAGGCTTTGCAAGGTTTAGAGGTGGTCAAAGTCGTGTGGTATTGGTGTAACCTTTAGTAGTCACCTCTCCCTAGTTAGAAGCCTCCTTGCCCCAATCAGAAGTAGAGGTCGTACCATTATATATTAGGGGGAGTATTTCTTCTTTGGGGGGATGGGCAGGTTTATGATTCCGTGGGAGATTACTAGGTGCCGTGATTGTTTGGGGACCTAGGCTTTTCACGGAGATACGCTACAGATCCACTTCCTTTCAGCTGCCTTGCATCCACCCGAACCTTCCCAACCGTTCTTTGGTGTCATCGTGTTACTCACCTCGTCCTTTGATCCACCTACATACAGATCGTTGCCGTACAATCCCTCGGTCCTAAACCCTGAGCTGTGTCCCACAACCCTGCTCGAACTCTTCTCACGGCTGGAAGATCAAAAAGCAGGTCCCCTGGCCCTATACAAACCCATGATAGCCCCTTTAGCTCTATAGAATCCTCATATGATTCCCCGTGTTAGTCCTACAGAATTTTCATCTTCCTGACTTTTTGGTTTGACAAATTCTTCCCAACAAGCCCCTTATGCACCCAAACCCTACATGCTATAGTTTCCACTTCCTTTTTCAATGCCTCCCCGTTTAAGCAGCAGCAAACTACAGTACAATCCCTAAACCCCTAACCCTGAACCCTAGACCCTGAAGAGTTTTTTTGCTGAAGGTCATGGAAGCGCGCGCTTCGGCATGCCTGGCGCAGGCCGATGTAGGGGTTTAGGGCTTAGGGTTTTGGATTTAGAGTTTAGGGCTTAGGGTTTAGGGTGGATCTGGGGGTGATACTCCGTTGAAAGGGCTTATGGTGAAACATGGTACGTTGTCCAAATCATGGTGCCTTTTTGAGTTCCGATTATACTCGATACGGTTCCTAGTATAGGGGTATCCCAAAAAGGACAATACGGTTGAACAACTTCCATTGGGATTCAGGGTTTGGGGGTTAGGTAGGCTATCGGGGTTCGGGCGGTTGATGCTGAGGGTCCTGCATGGCTATAAGTATACTTCATATCTACGGAGTAAATTTACTGGGTTACTGTTAAAGAAGTTAATTCAAGTTCCTATATTGGGGAAGCCCTATTATTTCCTACTATATATATATATACCCAGTATGGTATCCTAAACTAGGTTCCTTAACAGCAACCAGTTTATGCCGGCATACTTACTACTGTCAGGCAGGGCTTTAGTTTTAGCAGCTGAGGTGCCCTTAGGGACCTGAGGGACCAATTGCGATAAGCAAGGAACGATAGATATAGACACACTCCCTGAGGGTCCAAGGACCCAGATAATATGGTTTTAGGACCCAAATACTTTTAATACTATAGTATTTGGACCCTTAAGCCCTATTAGTCGGGTACGTGGACCCTTAGGGACTACAAGGTTTGAGAAGCTGCAATGTTTTGGGCTTCTGGATTGCCATTCTCTCCAGCACATCTCACCTATCACCTTGATCATCACCACCGTGCTGCATGCCGGTACCTAAGCCTGCCTGACGCCGAGATGTAGACCTTCATTGATAAACCCCCCTCCTTGTAATGGTTCCCTATTTTAATCATGAGTCTATTCAGCTACTGTGCTCTTCTCTTTGTCGGCTGTGGGTTGAACAAGTCTGCTTTTTTTGGCAGCAGCAGTGGGAAGAACAATAATTGACGTCACAGTAGCAGTACCGCGCTTCTGTGGACATTGTATAAGTTGTTACGGCTGAGTTGGCAAGTAGGATCATAATGACACAGCCGACGAGCCAGAGCGTACGCCTACCGTGACAGGACAATAAGTTACGAGTTGTAATCTACAACAAACTACTCGCATAGTTGTGCGGGCCGCAGTACTGCAGCGTAGCATAACCCGAAGTTTCCATTTGTTTTCCATCATCCCAATATAACTCGTACATAACCCCGATATAACCCCCATATAACCCCAACATAACCCCTATATAACGCATCCTGGAAACTTCTCATAAGGAGCCACCTGCCTGCAAGGGCTCGAAGCATTCGCATGTTCGCATGCCATTGGGCCAGGACTACGTGCAAACAAAGTCATTGGGGGTACAGGTACCCATTGGGGTAATATGAAATATTAGGTGTATATTTGGGTTATATTGGGATAATGGAAAATGTGATGGGAACTGCTGTTTAGGGTCCAGGGTGGACGGATGCTCTTTCGACCGGCAGTTTATTTTCCTTGTATAAGCTTCAACAGTTTTGGTCATTGCGCACAGGATCCGTCTGATTTTTCATACAGCCCTTCTTGTGGACACACACACACACAATATAAGTGACCACGAGCCAGCACTCATGATGGTTGATGAGCATGGCAAATTCATGATGTACGTTCTCGCAAAACCCCTCTACGGTAACAGCACACACAACAGTTCATGAGCATAACAAAAAAGTGATTCACGGTTTCAATCAACACAGAGGTGGAAGTTTCTCTCCACACCCCTACATAATCCCTAACATGCAGTCTACCTAGACCCTCCTCCTACCCTCTATTATGGCCTAAGTACCCACTATTAGGGACCATATATCCCCAATTAAGGGTACAAGGAGGGTCCTGGTACTAGTTCTCATCCGCGTCAAAGGAACCACCCACGGAATGACTCACAATTTTGAGGAAAACCCTCATCGCTGCAAATGTCTATCTGAAAGTCACTACCTGGGCCCCTAAAGTAGGTAGAATAATAGCCCAAAACCCATAGTAATAGGCCAAAAGGCCATTATTTTACATACTTTCGGGGTTCAGGTAGCAAAAGCTCTAAGGAAGATTGCAAAGGATGCAGCCTTTCAACCCATGCATATCCCCCAGCCTTGATGTTGTAAAGCCCTGAAAATCCTTGAGGCCAGAAATCCATTTGGTTGGGTTTAGGGTTTAGGGTTTAGGGTTTAGGGTTCAGGGTTTAGGGTTCAGGGGAAAGCCTTCTCATAATCTCCACGGCTCCTACACCACGAAACCCTTGCAAGCATGAGTACCCTTCCCCAAACCCTAGACCCTAAACCCTCAGCCCTCAGCCCCCTCCCGCTTGCCATCCTAACCCACCTGGCAGCGGCCCCCTTTGTCAACCTCAGAACTCCCCATTCCTTTCAGGAATGATGTCAAGGTTCTTATTGTAGTCTAGGGCTGAGGGTTTAGGGCCCAGGGTTTAGGGTTTAGCACTTAGGGTTTAGGGTTTAGGACCTCAAAGACCTATTAAAGGTAGTCGTTTATTGTACGTCTACGGGGTTTCGCAGAGAAAGCACGAAAGGTATCGCCAGCAGACTCCAGAGGAGAGGCACAGCCTCCAGGATTTTCTCAGCAGCGGCCCTATCCGGTTGAGGGTTTAGGGGAAGCTTTGGGGGTTTCTACAAGAAGTGTTAAAACATTTTTGGGGTGCATATTGGGGTGGCCGCATTTATGGAAACTACCATATCTGCCTTGGGAATTAATTACGGTATCATCTGCAGTAAGGTCATGCAGGATGTTTGTCCCAAGAGTATCCCCAGTTTGGGGCAAGTTCGTCTGTAGGGGAGTCTCAGGTGCCCTGGCAAAACTTGGGTGGGTCTATCAGGGGGTCTAAGAGGTCTAGTAACGAGCCTAGTATGGAGGCCCACTGTGCCCCGGGAAAACTATATGGTCATTCCAAATATAGTTGTTAGATACTATGATCCTGCGAGTAGGATCCTGACTTCCAATGACGAGCCCAAATTGAAATTGTGTGGGTTCCGGCGCAGGTATCGCTTCAGCTTGATATGGATGGGAATTACTTGACCATTGACATGATGAGCTTTAGGCATGTCAACAAGGACCGCACTGTAGACCCGGGGATATTTCCGGGCACGTTGCTTTGGAGAACCCAGAAGCCATTAGCAACCACAGCATTAACTTAACAATAACGGACACGCTTGTGAGATACTGGGCGAGGTTCCCGAAACTCTGGCATGAGCCCCGCGGAAATACGATTTAACCATTACTTGAAATGTCCGGCATCTCAGATTTTTCGCCTAAAGACATTGAGCTTGAAGTATGGCTTTCCTTGTTGGTTTGGTAGTACTTTGTTTTGAGGTGTTCTGCTGGCAAGTGTTTGAGGAGTCGATATTGTCCTAGTTGCGTGCTTCTATTTGTTTGGGGCTTTACAGTGGAGGGGTAAGATACCTAGCTTACTGTTGGGTTCCCTTGGCCCTAATCCTAGTCCACATGTGGGGAGCCCAAGGAATCCTGCTTACGCTAACATTCAAGCCAAATCCTGCTCAATAAGCTTAAAACCCTGTCTCTAAACCCTTATCACCCCTCATTGGCGGATGCGAGGCGTGAAAAGCTTCGAAAGCGCGAGCACGGAAAACTAACAGTTTCCAGTCTCCATCTTCTTCTTCATCTCCTAGTACTCCCAAGCAAGATATTACTTTCCATGCGCCGTTCCCTACTTGGAGGGTCAGGGGGACTTAGCAAGTAGGTTAGTAACCCCCTTACCTATCCCAAGTATGAACCTATACTTACTAAGCCCCCCTGACCCTCCAAGTAGGAACCTGCAGTTGCTAAGGCCCGTTGAAGCTGTGAAGCATTTGACTGCCAGCGCAAAACTCTCTGAAGGACAAGGAGCTGGAACTTGGAGGCGTCAGCTGAGGGCTCGGGGTTTAGGATTTA